GCATGAATGAGAGGCATCCCTCAGATAGAGAGGAAGGGCCCCCAGGGGGCAGTGACAGGAACCATAGAGGAAGGTGATGGAACCTATACAGGAGGAGCCCCTCAGAGGAGGCAGGTAGTCCAAACAGGGAAGCAGGAGCTCCGGAGAGTTGGGGACCCTGGGAGGTGGGAGGACGGGAGAGTGGGAGCCCTGTTGCAAGGGGAGCCTTGGTGATGGGGAGGTAGGTGCCACCGCTCACCACTATGCAGCTTCACATGTTCCTTCAAGTGCTTCTTAAAGTTGAAAGACTTCCCACAGGTCGGCTCTGGGCAGCAGAAAGACTTCTGATGGACATGCTGGTACTTCTTGTGGTGCTAAGGGAGGACACAGGTGACAGGGAGAGAAGCAGCAAAAGGGCAGCGCATTCCCCAGGGAAACTGGCTGAGTGCATGTGGCAGACAGGCTCCTCTGTCCCTCCTGTCCCCTGCATTCCAGCAATTCTCTTGTCATGATGACCTAGTCCTCACTCACACTACATCTTCCTATTCTGACCGCTAACTCTGCCCTTACTGCCTTCTCCCTGGGCTTCCACTGCCTCACCTTCCTGCCTTGCCTTCACCCTGAAGTGTCTGTAATTTTCCCTGACAAGTGCCACTCCTGGTGATGCTCCTGGAAGGGGAAGTAGTTTGGGTGACTGACTGACATACAGCAGTAACTCCCCGTGTACATGTGGCTTCAGAAACACACATATAGGCTCTTAAGGCAGAATACTTCTGAGGAAACAAGTTCAACACAGAAGTATTTCTCTCCTTATTTGACCTGATTTGGCCTCCTAGCTCAATAAATTGCATGGACTGTCCCCTTCTTTGTAATCTGTTTCCCATAGTTAAGTTTCAGGGGCTGCTTCAGCCTTCTCTGGTATGTTGACTTGCCCGTCAAAAGCTCTTCTAAGCCTAGACTTCACTGTAATTCCACCTTTGCCACCTGATTCCTTTCTATTTTGGTGTCTTTAGGCAGCATTCTCCCACCCTGCACACTCAGGCCTCACCATCCCTCTGGTCTGTGGCCCTCCCCAAGGCACTAGCTTGGGCCCTGTGGAGTTTGGGCCTTCCTCCTCTGTGCCTCAAACTCCTCATGTAGTGAGGTTGGGGAATGGATGATCTCCTGGTCCTACCTGATTTTGGACTACCTACTCCAAGAGACATGCTCAGGCAGCCTGAGTGTGGGCTCTGGAGCCAGGCCATCAGGTGTAAAACCCTAGCACTACCACATACTAGCTGAGGAGACTTGGGCAATGTTAACCTTTCTGTGTCCCTCAGTTTGGCTATCTGCAAAGTGGGAATAACATCAGCACCTACTGTGTAGGGATGTTATGAGGGTCAAAAGACAGTACTGTCAAGTGCCTAGAATTGTCATTAGCACCCCATGGGAGCCTGGTGAATGCCACTGTCATCTCTGTGTGGTTCTTGGAGGACTCATGGAACAAGCAGTAGCAAACAGTGGCTCTGTGTGCCTGAAGTGTGATTTGCTGCCTCATCAATTATAGGAAAGCCCTGAGTCTCTACCCTCTTCTTCCTGGCTCTGAATCCTCCACACCTGGGGCTCCTTTTCCTCAGCTTCTCCTTCAGCCCCCTTCCCCTGTCCTGGCAGGTCCCAACCTGTGCCTCTCACATTCAAATACTGCCGGTTGGAGAAGATCCTTCCACAGCCAGGGAAGTCACAAGGCATCAGCTCTCTTTTGGCAGCTTTCCTGGGGGAGGAGAATGAAGAGGAGCACAGGGCTCTGGTCTACTATCCTGTGCCTCCTTTCTATTGCCCTCCTCAGAATCCCATGTCCCCACATCCTACCTAATTCTTTTGGGGCCGATCTGTGTGGTGTCCTCATCCCAGATTGGGCTTGGAGCAGATGGGACCTGACTCCCAGTGCTAAGGGCAGCAAAGAAGGAGAGGGCCTTGAGGGAGGGCCATGTTCCAGGACACTCCTGCCCTCTCTGTCTCAGCCATCAGGTTACCTGGCCAGGGGCTTAGTCTGCTCGGCTGCTTGAGGGGTCCCAGTGAGCTGTGGCTGTACCTTGACTTCCACGGGCACAAGAGCCCTGGAACCCAATGATGATGCTGACAAGGAAGGCACAGCAAGAGGAGTGGAGAGAGTTGCAGGGGCCAGCGGTGTCTCCCCCTCCTTAGGTGTGTGGGTGACAGGGGAAGGTGGTCGTTGGGGGGTATCTGGCTCACTGCTGAAAGGAGAAAAAAGAGTAGGGGGGGCATTACCTTTCTGGGCACCTAGCTACCCCCATCTCAATTCTAGGTGCTAACCTGAAAAGATCCCAAACTTGGAACACTACTCCTACCCATTCGCACCACTCATGCCTGCTGTCAGCAGTCTCCCAGAGCCTGACTTCACCCCTCAGTACAAAGCCTATAGTTCCTTCCACCTCCCTGCCAAACTTACCAATAAACCCATTCCCTCCAGGCTGCAAAGGTCTGAACTGCCAGACCAGCCACCTCCTCCCTCTCTTGCTCTGCTCAGCATCCTCCCTCAACCCCAACTTGCTCATCTGGAGAAGAGCTGTAGGTCCATAAGCTGGCATCACTGAGCATCTCCTCTTCATCCTCATCGTCCTCTTCTTCCTCACCCTCTTCTTCTCCTGGGGGTGGGAAGGTCTCGGGTGGGGGTCTCACCCCTCTGTAGGTCCAAAGAGGGCAAGCCTGAGGTCCTACTCCCTCATCTGCACTATCCATGCAGGTTTGCCCTGTCCCTCCTACCTCCATCCTCACCTGAGCAATTTGGCCTCTTGAGTCCCCTCATTATGTTCCAATTCCAAACCTGTTGGCACAGGCAGGGTCAAAGGAGAAGGAATTCTGGGTTCATGGGCTGAGGACAGGTAGAATTCTAAGGTCTGAAGTGATAGAAGACTCTTAAAAAGGAGGAAGGGAGGGGCAGATGCTACTGGCATGGAAAAGGGTGTTTTATTTCAGAGATGATAACATTCACATGGTTCAAAAAAAAAGTGTAAAAAGTACACAGTGAAGTCTCCTTTACAATACTGTCCTGTCACCTAGTTCTCCCCACAAGCAACCTGGTTTCCTATGCGCCCTTCCAGAGATCTTTTAACACATTCACAAGTACACAAAATATGTTTCCTTTTCCCTCTTATTTTCCAGCAATGACAGTGTACCATACCAGTACACCTATTCTGTGTTTTGCTTGCTATACCTAACAATGTATTTGAGGTTATATTTTCTTGTCAGCATAGAGCTTTTCCATTGAGAAAAATCAGTTTTAGAGAACTGGCCTCTAAGTTACAGAAGATGAGAAATCTTTTTCCTCCCTTTTCTCCAGAATTACTCTTTGCCCCAGCCTACCTGCAGGCTCCTGCCCACTCCTGGCTTCTGGGCACCAACTTCTCTGGGCAGTATGTGGAAGAGGGGCTGGCTTGGGTGCCTCTGTAGGTGTAGGGCTCAAAGAGGGTCCCCAGGAGAAGGTGTGGCCCGCTGAGCACTCCCACACAAGACCCCCATCATGGCCCCCAGGCCCACGAAGCCCAGGCACCAGGCTGCACTTTCGGCTGTGGGCATGAGACAAGAGCACCAGATACTGCAGACCCTTGGGGGGCAAAGGCTCAGGACCTGGAGGGGTGGGGGAAGTAGTCAGTCTGAGCTGGGAGGCCTCCTCCTCCCTCTCCTCTCACCCTAGACAGCTCTGCCCTTCCAAACTCCTGGGCAACCTCAGCCCTAGTCATTTATTATTCTCCAAAGCCCAGACCCCCAAGGTCCTGATACAGCTCTCCTCCCCAAAGGCTGCCCTATCAAACTACCCTGGGATCCCCAATGCACCCGTCCAAACTCACTCAAGGTTCCCTTTGATCCAACCCACTTGAGGAGCGTGTTTCTGGGTCTCCCTGTGGCCCCTCTTCCCTCTGGCTCCTACCCTCAGCCATCCCCTGCCTACCTGCACAGAGGACGCATCCTGAAGAAGTGTACCTGCCAGCAGAAGAAAAGGCAGATAAGCTCAAGGCCCAGGTGGCCACCACCCTCTTTCTTGGACACTCACATACGTGAGGGGCCAACCCTATGGGCACCTTATTTACTGGGACCATGAAGCGGGGAACAAGACCCAGGGAGGCCACAAATGACCTAGGCACTCCTACTGCAATGGGAAACCTGGGCTGGAAGGGAGGTGTGGAGCAGTGATTGGCCCTGGAGAGTGGGCTAAGGTTGCAGCCTGAGCGCCCTCCCCAGAGTCCCTAACCGGTCCAACAGGAACTTGGCCAGCTGTGAGTGGAGGGAGAAGCCCAGGCGTTCCTTGAGAAGGCACCACTGCTCCATGTGGCCGCCCAGACGTATGCGACACTTGCTGCGGCGCGCATCCAGCTGCCGCCGCTTTTCCCTCCGCCCGCAGGAGACGTCCGCCACAGGTGAGGAAGCCATGTGCGCCTGGGCCTGGGGTGCGAGGGACACGCGGTCAGAACCCGCCAACCTGCAGGTCGGAGACGTGACTGCTCCGCCTCTGGGGCCTCAGTTTTCCCATAAGTGAAATGGGGCGGGACTAGGCTGTCCTAAACGCAGCTCACCCCTTTACGTCAGAGGGTATGCGAGCTTGGCGCTGTGACAGGTGTCATGGCTGGGAAGAAGGTTCGGAGAATCAAAGTCAGAACAAAGACCCCTCCTGCCGAATGAAGTGGTGCGAACCTTTCCCCCGGATATTTCAACTAGGGTATGGGCACTGACATTTCATCTTGAGAGCATCAGCCTTTTACTGGCTTACGGGGTAGGAAGCCGTGTGTCCTGGCGTGCAACTGGGGGTGCTCTCATAGCTGGGTTCAGTGCGGGCAGGGTCAGGGACAGACGTCTGGGGTGCTCTTAACCCCATCCTGGGCCATCTCGCTAACACTCATAATGAGTAAAACCGAGCAATCCCAAAGGCGGCTGGGCAGCCTCTCGGAGGTCCTGCCACAACACACCCCTACCCGGCCCGTACCCCCACAGGGCCTTACCTGCGCGCCCCCGCCCGCCTTCACCCCAACTGCGCCTGCGCCTCCTCGGCCTCGCGCGCAGGCCCGGAGAACAGCGGGAGCACAGGGGCCCACCTCGCGCGCGCCGCCGTCGTTTCTCTTTTAAGAAGAAACCGTCCCCTTCCGCATCCGAGACTCCAGCACAGAATTGGGTCTCAGGCCGTGAACGCCGGGCGGGCTGACGGCTAGCGGCGCGAGCCTGCGTAGTGGCCGTGCCGCGCCGCGCAGCGCCTGCCGGGAAATATGGTACTGTGCGCCGGTGGGCCACGCGTGTCCTGCATCCGGGAGGAGAGTCTAGGTTGCGTCGCTTTTGAAGTGAGCACCTACGCCTGATGACCAAGGTCTGCAGCTAAGGGTAAAAGTTAGGGCCACGCCCTCCTTCGCGCTGACCCCAACTCTAAGCTGGCAGGTGAAGTTGCCTCTTCACTACCGGTTTCGTCTTCACCTCTGACTCTTCTCAGCCGCGGCGTCGGGCTCCGCCGCGTCGGCCTCCCGGAAAATTGGCTATAGCCTCCTCCAGGCTGCAGGGGCCCCGCTGTAGTCTTTGGTCTTTATTGGCAGCAAAAGTTTTCCGAAAAGTTGCCTAGATTCTCTGTGGGCTCCTTCCCAATTCTTCGTTCCATTTCCTCAAAGGGAGCTTTCATGTCCTGAAGCCACTTCATTGGCGCTTCGTACCGTCGCTGCAGCGCCGCGTTGCTAAATGCAGTGGTTATTTCTCTCTACCGATCTTCCCTGAGCAGCTTGTAATTATGGGGATCTGTACCTCTTCATCCGTGTGGTTCCCGGCATGCTTCCCCCAGTTTGACTTCTGTGATTTCACTGACTCCTGGTTTTCTTCCCTCTTCGTTTGCATCTCCTTTCTTTTGGATCCTCCCGTTCTGTACTCTGGGCCAAGTACTCTCTTTTCTGGGCATGTTCTCTTCATGGGTGATCTAATCAAGTTCCATGTCTATAAGTACATTGATGGCTCCCAGATTTGTATTTCCAGCCTAACGCTCTTTCAGCTCCAGACATATATAGAGGATGCCAAAAAAAAAAAAAAAGGTATACATATTTTTAAAAACTATATTAAAATTGTAATATCCAAGTCAGTAGATATTATTACAATTTTAGTACTTTTTCCCCTTTCTTAAAATAGATATGCTTTTTGGGGCACACTATGTATGTAAAAACTGCCCGGTTATACTTTCACACTTAACTGAGTTTTCCACTTAATGAATATATAAAGAGTTTAGGATAGTGCTTGGTAGAGGGCACTGGTACGGGGCTAGCTGATATTTTCTCAAACATGGCTATAGCAAACATAAAACACTTAATAATGCTGCTTCCCTCCCCCATCTTAGAATCTATGCTATCATCCACTCACTTGTTCAGACCAAAAACCAGGAAATCAGCCTTAACTCTTACTTTTGTGACACCCAAACCATATATGTCAAGTGCCAGTGGCCCTATCTCCAAAGATATAAAATCCAATCACTTCTGACCCTCCCCACTGCTAAAACTCAAAGCCACCTATATTTATTTTTTGTGGCTGCTGTAACAAATCATCGCAAACTAGATGGCTGAAAACAGCAAAAACGTATTCTCTTACAGTTCTAGAAATGAAGTCAAGGTATGGGCAGAGCCACACACCCTATAAAGGTTCTGGGGGGGAGGAATTTCAAGGGTAGAATCCTTCCCTTGCTCCTTGTGGTTCCACTGGTTGCTGGCATTCTCTTGCCTTGTAGCCACATTGCCTCCTTCTCTTCTGTGTCAAATCTCTCTTTGCTTCTTTTACAGATATGCTTGTGAATGCATTTAAGAGTCCACTTGAGTAATCCAAATAATTTTCTCATTTCGATATCCTAAAAACAATTAACATCTGCTAAGGATTGTCATATAAGGTAATCTTAACAGGTTCCAGGGATCAGGATGTGGATTCTTTCCCAGGACCATTTTTTAGCCTACCATACGTCACCATTTCTCACCTAGTCCATGGCCACACCTTCCTAACAGATCTGCCTCCTACTTTACCTGTGCCCTCACAAAGCAGAGAAAGTGACCTCCCAAAACAAATTTCTTAGATTTCAGTGGTCTCTAGGGCAATTCAGACCCTTAGTATAGCCAGAAGGCCCTATCTTGTTTGGATGGGCTGCTTTTCTGGCATCTTTCCCTACTTGGTCTGCTCTTTTGTAGCCCTGCCCACCTCAGTGCTGTTTCTCTAGTGTCAGGTACAACGGAGGGAGCTGACCTCTCTAGAGCACTTGCCCTCCGCCTTGGCTCGGCACCTGTAGATCAAGTGGCTAAGGTGCTGCCACATATACCAGAGCTGGTGGGTTCAAATCCAGCCCAGGCCTGCCAAACAACAATGATAACTGCAACCAAAAAATAGCTGGATGTTGTGGTGGGTGCCTATAGTCCCAGCTACTTGGGAGGCTGAGGCAAGAGAATTGCTTAAGCCCAGGAGTTGGAGGTTGCTGTGAGCTGTGACGCCATGGCAATCTACCCAGGGTGATAGCTTGAGGTTCTTTCTCAAATAAATAAATAAATAGAGTACTTGCCTCACTCCCATCTCCCCTCCCCTATGCCACCAGCTTTTCATGTGATTATTTTTTCTCATCATGTAAATCTCAGCTCTAATGATACTGGATTTCTTCTTCAGTATGTCCTTGGTTTCAGGGATTTGAAGAATGAATCCCAGACCACAGATCAGTTAGAGGTAAGAAAAGAGCACCAAACCTGGCAATGGGAAAGACTTAAGTCAGAAAGTCTCTCTGTCTACCTGGGTTCTTTGTCTAGGAGTATATATAGTTGCTTGGGTCCTTTGTAGTTACATTTGGCCAGGACATGGTAACAAATGAATGGATACAGTCCCTTCCACTTGGGCAAGGTGAGTGAGTGCATTAATAAATGGATATAGCCCTTTCCCCTGGGGTAAGATGAATGAGTGCATTAATGAATGAATACATTCCCTTCCTGGGGCAAGATGAATGAGTGCATTAATGAATGAATACAGTCCATTCATGAAATTGCCCAGGCTTAGGAAATGAGGGGGTCCCCCTGAATGAGGGAACCCTCTATCACCTTTAGGCTGGAGAAATGCTCACAGGGGAGTAGTGCAGCCAGAGAAGGGCTTTCTAGGTTCAAAGGTGGTTCTGGGCTGGGGTTGGAGCATCACAGGCTGTGCCATGGTCTCCCTCAACTAACTAGGGACACTCAGGCTTCCGCCGTACTTGCCCTCTCTGCCACACTTGGTTCTCCAGCTCTTCCTCCCCTTGTCAACTGTACCAACACCATGGGTCAGAGGGAGATGCAGAAGGCACACAGGTCCTCCCGGGTGACTGGCGCTGACCAAGCCTCGGTGTACTCCACCCAGAAAGGTCCCTTTCCTCAGACATTTTCTACCTCACTGTGGCCTATTCTGTTTTCTGGATAGCATTCATCATTTCCTGAAATTATTTTAGGAACTTATGTGTGTGTTGTTGCTATTTGGTAATACTATAAACATCTCAAATGATGTGGTGTCCAAACATGAGCCATCATTAGGAAGAGCCTAGGATGTCCTTTGTATGTTTTGCTTGCTATGTGGAACCTGTGACTTAGCATATGTGTATGACTAGTACACAGTGGGCCTATCAGCCACCTTGTTATGAGTGTAACTTTTAGATCAGAAGTACAGGACTTGGGGTTACTCAGTTCTTGGGTTAGCTTTGGGGACAACCAGCAAGTCACTGGCATTCTTGGGGGACTAGAGTTGCAGTGACTCTTTGACATAGGTGCAATGGCAGCTGAATGGGACCTGGCCATTATACTGGCAAGATTGAAGTGACTGGTGGTGGTAAAAATTAAGGTCTTGGCAAAGGCAGCTGATGCCTTAGGATCAAGGAAAGTTAATAAGGGTTGCTGTGTGTGTTACAGTTACTATATTTTTCTGTTCTAAGGTTTCCATTTGGTGCTTCTAACATCTCTTTTACCTTGGTTTTGGCACCTATTGATTATTCTTTTTTCATTTGGTTTAGGGTCTTCCATAGCCTTTGTGTGATAAGTGATATTCTGTTTTTATTTTATTTTGTTATTTTATGACAGAATCTCACTTTGTCACCCTCCACAGAGTGCTGTCACATCCCTTCTTAGCTCACAGCAACCTCAAAGTCTTGGGCTGAAGTGATCTCCTTGCCTCAGCCTCCCGAGTAGCTGGGACTACAGGTGCCTGCCACAATATCCACCTATTTTTTAGAGACAGGGTCTTGCTCTTGCTCAGACTAGATGACGTTCTGTTTAAATCTGAATGTTTCTTGTACTGTATTGTGTTAGGAATCTCTGGATCTTATTTATATGTTCTATTTGAACTGGCTGTCTTTGAAACCACTGTACTAGAGAAAGGGAGATCTGCCTCATTTCTCCCAGGCAGAAGTAGAAATTCAGGGTCCCTGCTTGTTCTGCACTAGTATCTAAGGGGGATCCCTATTAATTGGTGAGGGTTAAAATTCTGGTTCCTAATCTGGTCTTGACTGCCGACATGTTGGTAAGGTGGCCTTAACACCACTGGACAGTGGTAAAAATCTCTGAATTAGGCATCCATTCACACCACAGCCATCATGGAAGAGTTCATTACTACCAGGTGGATGTGGAAGTCAAGACTTCCCACACTGTTTCCACTGAGACTGTAAGAATGGGTAGGGATAGGTGACTTACTACCAGCCAGCAAGGATGAAAGGCTCAGCAGTACACTTGGCTGTCTCTATTCTGTTGAGACAGCATAGGGACAGAACACAGTCCCAGCTCCACTGCCGTATTTTTAAGCCTGCTAACTACAAGGCCTTTACTACTCAGTCAGCTGTTTGAAGAGTCTGAGATAAGCAACTCTTCACTATAAGTCTTCTTTAAGGCAGTTGGGCATACCACCTGCATGTACTCAAGACCAGGAGAATGACTGATTCTGACTCCTTGCCTCATTATATGACTAAGTTTCCCCAGAATAATCTCATCTGCCATTTTTGGTCATGGGATGTAGTTATTAATATGATCTCTTCTTGTGCGTGCGCACCCTGCACTGCACCCTGTTCCTGTGTTGATGCTCAATTACCCCATGTATTATTCCTGTCATCCTCCTAAAAACACCACACAGACCTATCCTCAGAGAGCCAGCCAAGGAAACTTCCTCCTGCCTGGTG